CACTGACCTACAGCTTTTAGGATTTGCCCACCGTTGCAACTCTGTGAGCAAGCAGCCTTCTGCTTGACCTGCCAAGTTGGAGCTCATCAGCCTCTTCGATCAGGATAACCTCCAGCCTGATGCCTGGACCATAGATCAGGGGCTTGCCACTGCCCACAACTGCATGGGCTATTTCTGCTGGTACTTATACATGTTTCCCCAGCTTTGCTCCTCTGGAGAACCCAGCCCAAGACATTTGGGACCAAGAGTGTGGTCTCCAGGAAAAAATATGTCTGTGTTTTCTGAATTGGTTCTCAAATCTGGTTGGACCTAAATACACTGATGATTCTAATTCCAGTAGAGGAGAGGACATGGCTACATCATGATAGAGAGCGGTCGCATAAATATATAAAGCGGCACCACCATTGGATCAAAGAGTTGTGACAAACAAGACCCCTGGTAATTGTGTATTTGACACCTTTCAGTTCTCCTGTCACATGGAGAAGTATAGGGAGACTGGTGGGTGGGTCCTGCTTTCTCTAGAGCAGTGGTCCTCAACCTTCCTCACGCCGTGACCCGTCCATACAGCTCCTCGCGGTGGTGACCCCCAGCCATCAAATTATTTTTGTTGCTACTTCATCACTGTCATTTTGCTACTGTTATGAATTATAATATAAATATCTGATATGCAGGACGTATTTTCATTGTTACAAAATGAACATCATTAAAGCACAGTGATCCACGACAAAACCAATGTCATTCTATATTGTGAAATATTTATTTCTAATGACAAATAAATGAAAGTTTGTCTTAAAGCATGGTGTAGCATGGGTAACAGTCTTAATATGACAACAGTAGACTACATTGCTACATTTTGCGACAGTATGCATAAAAAGCCAACGTCAGCGTGAAGGTTGAGATAGCTTCTTTCTCGCCAGATCAGAAATTCTCGCGGCAGTCTTTGCAAGAGCACAACGAAGATCATCTTCCACAAATACCTCTCCTTCTGTATGTAGACTGGATAACCAACAAGCTGGAAACCCGTTTCACACAGGTACGTTGTTGGAAATGGAAGAAGAAGACACAACACTCTCAGACAGAACAGGATGTGCCTGCAAACACTTGATCCAGAGTTTTGTAACTGGCACTGTAGAGAAATCGTTCTCGCTGCAACGCTATTAATAAGAATAAGTTCAATGAACTCCTCTTGTGTGGTCTCAGGAACATCTTCAACGTTGACTGTGAACGGGCTTCTGGCAAGTGCATACGGGGTGTCAGGTAGATTTGGAAAGTACGATGAAATTCTGTCTGCAAGCATGTTCAAGTGTTCTTTCACAGAAATCATCATTGTAATCCTTTTGTCTGGTACAATGTCATGTTCCTCAAAGGAAGCAGATAATGTAGGCAACGTGTAAATTTTATTTTCATCCAATTTTTTTTTTGTGCCAAAGCTGAAGTTTCATTTGGAATGATCGGATCTTTTCAAACAAATCGAGGCATGTTGCATTTGGTCCTTGCCGTGATAAATTTAACTCATTCAAGATAGCAAAGATGTCAACCAAGTGAGCTATTTTCTGCAGTTCACTTTTGTCGCTGAAAAGTGCTTTGAACTGCATTCTTGCTTTCTAATTAAAAAACGTTTTGAGTTCATCACGAAGCTCAAAAACACGTTTTAAAACCTTTCCTCTCGACAACCATCTCACTTTGTGTGAAATAACAGAGCATTATTCGGTGTATCCAACTCTTTGCACAGTTGTGAAAACAGTCAACTGTTTACAATGCTTGCCATTACAAAATTGACAGAACTTATGATGCCTTTCATTACTTCTTGTGACTCTTGTGGCAGCGTCATTGCTGATATTTGCCGATGAATCATACAGTGAGTGCCGATGACTTTTGGTGACTCATTCAGTACCAAAGGTTGAACTCCAGACCGACGTCCTCGCAGAGCTGGAGCACCATCTGTGCAAACACCACAAACCTTTTCCCAGGAGATCTTGTGCTCTCTCAGAAATGAACCAACTGTGTCAAATACATCACGTGCACTAGTTGTCTTTTCAAGAGGTTTGCAAAAAAGAAACTCATCTTTAAAGTCGCCATCATTAGTATACCTCACGTAAACCAGTAACTGTGAGCAATTTGCAACGTCTATAGATTCTTCAAGCTGGATGCTAAATATTGGAAGTGGAGCAGATTTTATTTCCTGGATTACCTGATCAAGAATATCAGCAGACATGTCATCTATTGGCATCGATTCTTCTGCGGGCAGTGTCAATAGATAAGGAAATTGCACTCAATTTCATAACAAATTCATCTCCGATCATAATTCAAACAATGTCTTTGGTCACTAGCAAGAATAAACCCTCAGCAATGGTGTGAGGTATTGTGTTAGTCTGGGTACTTTAGAGAAACAAATCTATAGAAACTCATGTATAAGAGAGAGGTTTGTGTGTTTTTTTGAAAGAGAGTTTTATATAAAGGGTAAGTGCACATCAAAAAAAGCCTCCCAACCCAGTGCTGCCCAAACCCACAAGTCCAACATTAGCCCATATGTCCGACACCAATCCACAAAGTCCTCCTCCATCTCACAAAACACATGCAATGAAGCTGACTGCAGGAGGAAAGCCGAATCAGTGAATGTGTAAGCATCTCAGCACTGGCAGGGGTTTCCACACGGCTGCTCCAGCACCCAGGGCTGCAACCGAGTAGGTCCATGTGGCTTCTCCTTGGGGATATCTTGCAGGAAGTGAGCCTTGCCAGCTGAAGCAGAGAACTGGCTAAGGCAGTTTCACCCTGGTCTGACCATCACAAAGCAAGAGACCTGAGAACTAGAAAGGTGAGGCTCACAGAGCCATTTATCTCTCTGCTTTTCAATGAATTCCACATGTGTTTATCGGCCAGGTTGGCACAATAAACTTTAACTACATCAGGTTTCATAGCTCTGGTGATCCTGAGTGCCACCAAATATGAAGCTTCAACGACTGCTACATTTTGTTTGTGGTACTTGCCACTAGTGTCAAGTCTGGCTTTCTTGAGTCCATCAGCTTTGCTTGTAAAATCATTGGTATCCTTGCCGGAAAAGTTCAGAAGCTTGCTATCAAAATGGTGTTTTAGTTTGTTTGGCTTCATAGATTCAGCTGATAGAACTTTACAACAAATAACACATTGCAGTTTCTCAATTCCTGCTATCATTGAGGTTAAACCATACTATAAAAAATCCTCACTAAATTTTCTTTTCCTAGCATTCTTCTCTACACAATCCATTGTCATGGGATGGTTTGCTAATGAAAATAATATATAACAATAGCTTTAATAATACAAAAGATGATATATGGCATAGCTCAGTCGATATAGTTCATTAAAATTTCCTAGGATTTACCATTCTGTGACTTCACATCAACCACAGCTGAATATAAAAAGACCCATCAGCATTCAGATTAAGTTCCCATGGTATATATATTTGCAATAGTTGATGATGTTACATTTACCCAGTCATTATAATTCATGAAGTCTCGTTTTACCTCCAATTCTGCTGCTTTCAACACAGTAACTGCTTTCAACATAGTAGCTGCTCTCTACACCGTAGCTGCTCTTTACACGTGTGACTGGTCTGCAGAAGTATATTATGAAGCCAACCCTGTCACATACACCTGTATTTGTACGGGGTGTATATGATGCGGTTGGCGTGATGATGTCATCATGCTGGGTAATCATAAGTGGATGTATCTGCATGTTGGCGGACCTGCTTGGATGTGGATAGAGGAACGGTGCCTTGGTTCCTAAGATCATCGGAAATATGTGTTTTCCGATGGTCTTAGGTGACCCTGTGAAAGGGCTGTTCGACCCCCAAAGGGGTCGCTCTCGACCCACAGGTTGAGAACTGCTGCTCTAGACAAACCAGGGAAAGAAAGGCAAAGCTTAGGACTGCAGAGGTGCAGCTCAAGAGCTACACAGAAGAGCTGAGAATTTCCACTTGTGCTCTGATACCCCAAACGCGCTGCCATCGAATCCGTGTTGACTCACGGCAACGCCATGGGACAAGCTCTTGCTGGTTTCTGAGACTAACTCTTACAGGAGTAGAAAGCTTCCTCTTTCTCCTGTTGAGCAGCTGGTCATTTTGAACTGCTGATCTTGAGTAAGCGCCCCAAATAGGTAACCACCACACCATAGGTCCTCAAATCACAGCTGCCCAAGAAACCTTTATCTCTTGTAAGTAACAGAGCTTACAAACCCGCAGTCTTATCTTAAGAGTGGCTGAATGACCATGCAAATTGCTTCTCAATCTGGAATGGTACTGGAGTTAAAGCGAGGACATTGATTGTAAAGAAATGAGATTTAGGAACTTGGAATGGGGACATGTGGGAAGATAATCAGGAAGCTGGGGACTTTGGGCCCCTAAATACCTTTTTTTTTTTTCACTGATTCAACACAGTTTATTACTGAACTGCACTTTCACCTTCACATGGATTATGTCAAAGAGCTGGAACAAGTGGGGGGATTAGGGAGGAGAGGGAGAGGCACCCCTCAGGAGCCGTGACCCCTGGCAGGCTTCCCTGGGCCAGGGCAGAGGAGGGAGCATCAGGCTGTCCAATCTCCGGGGCCCCAGCTCTTCACGTGCACGCGCACAGCAAGTCAGCAGCTCCTCACACATAAATACAGACACGCTTAACAAAAATAGTATATCATCTTCACAAGGAATAAAAACTAGTCTTGAGTATGTACAGCAGAGAGCCCCGGGTGGCCAGGACCCCAGAGACGAGACAGGCCATGGGTGGAGCAGAGCAGGGAGGGAGGTTGGTCTGAAGGGTCCCTGGCCAGGCCACTCTGGCCTCGGCAGCCCTGCTGCCCAGGCCAAGTGTGGGTGGGTGCCTCCAGACCCCTCTACCCCGGGCACAGCGTCTCCTTCCTGCTCGAGGTATGGAAGAACCAAGGTTCCTCCCTCTGGCCTGGGGTCCCCATGGGCACAGGCCCAAGGCAAAGATGCCACAGGCCGACCTCCTTGCAAGAAGAGGCAGCTGGGGCCGTAAACAGCTCTGGGGCACCTGTCCAGGGCCCAGTTGGTCCCTCAGTCATGCTCATGGGAGCCAGAGGAGAGGAAGGGCCTGGCGTGGTGCTAAGCTGCGAGGGCCACCCTTGCTCTGGCCTGGGGTGCCTCCTGCGGTGACAGCTTCCATCTTGGGAGGCCCATGGATGGGAGTCAGGGTGTTGGCCAGGCCAGAGGTGGGGCCTGATCTTTTGTTGCTTTATCCCAAGCAGCCTGACTTTCTAACTCACCCAGTTTGTAGCCCTACATAGCCTGAGGGGGTAGGAGATGGGAGGGAGGGAAGCCCCGGCCCAGGGGGGCGAGGGAAATGGTCAGTTCCGAGGCCACAGACATCACAAGGAGGCAATCTAGTCTTTCTTTCCGGGAAGAGAGTGAGGAAGCTTTCCAGCTCCCTGGCAGACAGCAGTCTTGGGAGGCTAGGGGCTGAGGGGCCTATCGAGCAGCAGGGCTCTCTTGTCCCCGGCCACAACACCTGCCCACACCTGGCAGCTTCCACAGAGAAGCTGTAGGTTTTGAGGCAGGAAAACTGAAGTGTGGGGAAAGGTGGCCCTCACAGAAGCGTGGGATATTCTAGAAAAGTTAACTGTGGGGGGACCAGGTGGAAGCCCTGCCCTGTGGTGGGTGGGCAGGCGAGGGTGGCATGTAGTGGTTCTCCTGGTGGCAATGGTGATGGAATGGAGGGGCGCTGAGGGGAAAGGGCTGTCAGTGTCTGGTCATTTCCGGCTGAAGAGCGAGCCCAGCAGAACCACACCAGCCACAGTCATGCCCGTCAGGAACCAGCGGTTGAAGCACTCCTGGCCCTTCCGGCTCTCGGCTGCTGCATTGTTCCCATAGAGTCCCACGAAAGTGTCCCAGCCGCTGTTCTCCTGGATCCAAGGCTCTAGGTGGTCATTCAGATAAGTAGCCATCCAAGTTGCGATCCGACTCACCAATACCTGCATCTCCTTGTCTACGCTTTCCACGCACAGTGCCCCACCGAAGGAGAAAAAGGCCACGATGCGACCCCAGTTCACCCCATCCCGGAAGACTTCATTCACTACCTGCTCAAAGCTCTGATACGCTGTCCCTGGGGTGATGTGGAGCTGGAATGTCAGGTCACTGAATGCCCGCCGGTAGCGCAGTTCAAACTCATCGCTGGCCTCCCGCAGAGCTTGTTTCACGGAGGTCATGGGGATCACCTCCTGTGGAAAGGACAGCCCACTTCTTCCCATCTGAAGAAATTACTCCATCTCTGTCTGCTAAACCAGATTAACTCAGCCCTGTCAGAAGATCATCCCGCCGAGGTATCGCCTGGGGCGGTGTCAGAAGCGCTGCGTGGGACTAAGGCAGATGCCCTGTAAGATACTGCTGAAAGTTCTCAGGACCTGCCTCCACCACCCACTTTTCCTTCTTTTTTTTTTTTTTCCCACTTTTCCTTCTTGACCCACAGCTAAACTTAAGTCCCAGCAATGCGCAAGAAACAGATACAAAGTGTAACCTACAAGATGGTATTGCTAGACTGAAAAAAAAAAGTACTTAAATTTGTTAATATATACAAATAGAAACTTGAGAACTATGTGTGAGAATGGCTATTAAGGATATGGGGGGAATAGTACAAGGACCATAAAGTGGAATCAGTCTTGAATTTGTTGATTCAGGCCCCATTAAGCACACATTCTTCAGCCAAAGTTTCAGCCTGAGAGGCTAGAGAATCTAATTGTTATTTGGTTAGTTCCCTAAAGCCTGGATTAAGTGATGGCTTACACTAAATCAAGTTGGAATGCCAGACTGGCCTAGCATTCTATATAGTAGAAGAAGGTGTCCAAGGATGTAGGGCAGGGGTCCTCAAAATTTTTAAACAGGGGGCCAGTTCACTGTCCCTCAGACCCGTTGGAGGGCCGGACTATAGTTTTTTTGAAAAAACTATGAACAAATTCCTATACGCACTGAACATCTTATTTTGAAGTAAAAATCCAAACGGGGCAAAAACACCCGGCAGGCTGTCCTCAGCGGGCCGCATGTGGCCCGCGGGCCGTAGTTTGAGGACCCCTGATGCAGGGGAATTGGCATGTTCAATGGATTTCTCAGATTGAACGCACAGAGTCACCCAGGGAATTCCCAGATGACACACTTTTCACAGCAAGGAGGAGGAAACGTGGGAAGGAAGCCCCAGCATCCTTGAAGCCGACTGTGATTGCAATTTGACATAAGTCAGATTTGAAAGCGAGAACGGCTCTAGGTGAATAAAGACACCTAACCACGATGGGGCTGGACGCCCCGCAGGAGCAGGAGCCGGCTAGCAGTACTTCCTCCCCCAGGGCGAGGTGAGCGAGTCAAAGCAGCCATCAGAACAGTGCGACTCTCGCGGACTCATGGCCTTGGCTACTTGGTCAACATGTCCCCAGGAATCGAACAGATGAGAAGTCTACTAAATATTTATAGGATCTGTATAAACATAAGAATTGAAGTTCAAGTGAAAGGCACGAACAACAGTGGAAAACACAGAGGAGAAAGAAGGGGGTGAGCAGAGCTTGAAGTTAAGGTGGCCACCAGCCAAGGAAGAGATGGAGCCACCCCAAACTGGAGGACATGTGACTTTTCTGGCCCTTAGGCACTCATACCTTCCTGCATCCTTCTTTTACATAAAAGAGTTTAATTGTGTTTAATTACTGCATCAGTATAAAAACAAATGTCAGGGTGGATATGTTGCTGTTACTATATCAATACCGTATGATTTAAAAATGAACATAGGAACATTTTCCCAGGCCCCTGAGAGCATTGTGGGCCCCAGACATGGTGAGTGTTTGGCCTAATGGCTAAGTCGCTATCAGTTCTGAGACACAAGATTACCTGATTTTTATTTTCTTCTTCACATCTTAGTTATATTTTCCAAATGCCCAACATGGAAGACTTGTTCTTGTGCTCTAATGAAAAGGCACTGGAACAAGGAAATTGGTAAGCATGAGTAGCTGGCCTGTTTGACTCAACGCCAACACGAAAAATTAAAAGTAGATGCAGTCTCTGGAGGCAACCCCTTCCAGGGATCTTAAAGATCCCCATCCCACAGTGGGCATTCCTGGGGCAGCTGGTCTAGCACACACAGGACTTTCTGCTCTAGTCGAGAAGTGGGACAACCCTTCTGCTTTCATCACAAAGGAGCTCTCTGATTTACACAGAACATGGGCTCCTGCCCTGCCCTCCACATGCGAGGATGACCCGATTCAACACACTGGCTCTCTCTCCAGGGGTGGACACGCCCCATCCCCACTCCCTCGCCCAGTCTGAAGAGCATTTGGACGAGGAAGACAGGTCTTGGGAACACTGGAAGGGCACCAACCAGCTCTCCGAGAGGTTCAGGCGCTGCACCAACACATCATGAACCGGTGGTGCTTGCCACACTGTCAGGTTTGTGGTTGGCTGCAAAGCACAAGGTCCGCAATTTGAAACCACCGGTTGCTCTGTGGGAGAAAGAGGAGGCTTTCAGCTCCCGTAAAGACTGACAGTCTTGGAAACCCACAGGGGCCGTTCCACTTGTCCTGTAGGGTCGGCATGAGTCAGAACTGACTCGATGGCAGACTTAAGAGATTTGACTTTACAAAACAAACCTTCAACCTTTCCCTTAGCAATGGAGCAGAGTCACCGTGGCACCACCCAGGGACACCCTCCACTTACGTGTCCTGGGGTTGCTTTCAGTAAAGTCTACTCACATTTTGATTGGGATTGCACTGAACCTAAGGATTCATTTGGAGAGAATCGCGATCTTGGCAGTACCAAGCCTTCAACCACAGAGCGTGGTCTATCCCTCGCGGATTTCAGCTTTCTTTCACTTCTTTGTAGCAATTCGTCATTTGCAGTTAAGAAGTCATGCCAATCTTTTATTTTATGTCTTCCTTGATATTTGATATTAATTAAGCTATTGCAATGGTCAGATAGTAAACATACTAGATCAGTGAGGTAATGTCTGGGGAAAGTTCTTTGCAAACTGTCAATTTGAGACAGTCTTTCGCAGCCACGATGCTGAGCACATAATTTTAGAAAGCTAGTCTGCACACCCGGGGCCTCTTTCCTAGTAACCGACCAAATCTTTCCTGGTTAATCTTTACTAATTAACCAAGATATTGAGGCTACACAGCCAGGACAGTGAAAGAAGATTACACCAGAGGCCAAGGACTCAGAGAATTGTTCGTCCTGGGGTCGATTCTGACTCACGGTGACTCCATATGCCAGAGGAGAGGCAGCTGGATCTTAGCCATTCACACCACCGGACACCGTAGAAAAAAATGATCGACCTGGAATAAACTCTAGGGGGAAAACTGTTTACATTCTGAGGTTGGCAGAGGGGGTTACACGTTGACTGCTAACCACAAGGTTAGCAGTTGAAAACTATCAGCTCCTCCACGGGAGAAAGATGAGGCTTTCTGCTCCCATAAAGATCCACAGCCTTGGTCACACGCAACGGCAGCTCTACTTTGTCCTATAAGGTCACCATGAGTCAGAATTGACTAATGGCAGTGTGTTTGTTTTGTTTTGCTTTTTGGAGGAGGGGGGTCACTAGCTGGTCTGGCGGGGCTGAGGGGGACAGTGTCTCACAAAACAGACCATTCAACCAAGCGTAGGGACACTCACAATCTACACATTCCTGGAGCTCTTGCGGAAATGCTCTCGTGGCTGGTTGCACCAGCCAGGGCTTGGTGGGAGTGCTGGTCCCATCTCAGCTTCTCCGCCTCCCCCCACATCATGGGTCTTTCTCAGCTGCAGAACAGACTGAGGTGTCTCCCTGGGACATTTCCTGGGAATGTTAGTGCTCACTTTCTGTTGCTCCCGGGTCTGAACAGCAGGCCCACACTCACCTGCTGCTCCCAGGCACAGCAGGGCTCTCATCCATCCTTTCCAGTTGCCTTGAGGGGAAAATGGCCAAGAATCCAGCCCCTAAGGAATTAACAACTTCAAACACACATGCACAAGGGAGGCAAATGTTGCTTATTTATCCCCACATCACTCAACTCCAGTCTCCTAAATCCCTCCCTGACCAATATAGCAATAACCATTATGCATGTATGGCAAACAATTATTAAACAACCTACCACCTACCAGAAGCCAGAGGTGTGGCAACGACGGCACAACCAAAGTGTGTGCGTAGAGGACAGGGAAAGGCAGGAGGAACAAGACCATCCATTGCAAACCAAAAGGAATTTAGGAGCCCAGGATCTTGATTTGGTATCCCTAAAAGTAGACCCTAAGATAAGGACACAGCCTTGCTTGCTGAAAGTGAGGCGGAATTGAGACGCTTGCTGATGAAAATCAAGGATTTCAGCCTTAACTATGGATTACAAGTCTGTGTAAATAGGTCCAAATCCTTACAACTGGACCGATGGGTAGCACCTGGATACATGAGGAAAAGGTTGACTTTGTCGTGCTTGGATCCACAATGAATGGTCACAGAAGCAGCAGTCAAAAGATCAAAAGACACGTTGCCTTGGGTAAACCCGCTGTATAAGACTTCTTCAGAGTATTGAAAAGCAAGGATGTCACTCTGAGGACTAAGGGGCACCTGACCCAAGCCAGGGTCCTTCCCCTGGCCTCATGGGTATGTGAAAGTTGGACACTGAAGACGGATGACAGGTGAAGAACTGATGTTTTTGAATTGTGGCAACGAATATTGAAAGTGCCATGAATTGCTAAAAGGACTGTATTCGTCCAGATCAACTAGAGAAACAAATGCACTGACACTCATATGTGTTTAAGAGAGAGCTTTATATCCAAGAGTAATTAAGAAAACATCCCAGTCCAGTCCAGATCAAGTCCATAAATCCAATATTAACCCATATGTCCAAAAGCAGTCCACAAATTCCTCTTCAGACTCATGCAACACATTAAATGATGCCAAGTGCAGGAAGATCATGGGCCAGTGGGTAGAAAGTCTTGTGGATCCAGTGGCAGTGGAAGCATCTCAACACTAGCATTGGTCTCCATGTGTCTCCTCCGGCCCTCTAAGTATCTCCACAGCAGGAAAGGGAAGGCAGAAAGACTGGATCAGGCCTCCAGTGAGATATTTATCTCCCTTGTGCCTCCAAATGAGGTCATCAAGCTGCAACCTAGTTGACAGGCTAGACCCCACCCCTTCGCTCAAGTTGTCCAGAGATTATATAACTGCCACAAGGACAAATCAAATCAATCAGTCTTAGAAGAAGTACAGCCAGAGTGCTCCTTTAAGGCACGGATGATGAGACTT